TTCTTATCTAAAAGTTTTATAATAGATCAATTTACTTGAAAATTAAAACTAACAGCACAGTATTGAAAATAGTGAACGAAAATTTGCACAAGACGTAGACAACAAACCCATAGGCGAGCGTCACTGGAACAAAAATTAATCATTATTCATTAAATATATTATATTTGAATAATTATCATTAGGTGGGAAAATTGCGATTTGTACATGAATAAAACAGAACTACCAAAACATGTGATAAACCACGTAGTTCCAGAATCCCAAGGGCTGTTCTATTGCAAATGGAAAAGTTGTACGAGAGGAGACCGAGCTTTTAACGCCAAGTAGATTTTTTTAAACTCATTTCACTATGAAATGTTATTTTTTCGGCACTTTAAGTAGATATCTTTTCAAGGTACAAGATATTAGTTCACATCCGCACTCATACAAACGACAAGCCGCATCAATGCTACATATGCAGTAAAAGTTTTACGCGAGCCGAAAATCTAAAGATCCACGCTCGTTCGCATACAGGTGCGTACAATATTTCAATATTTGTGGGTACTTATTTCATTACTGCGCCACTATGGTTAGGTTATTATTATTATGCATGTTTAGAGAACAATTTAATTGACTTTCTATAATAAGTAGACCATTAATATATACTATATATAATATAATCTATATTATGTTACAGTGAATTTCCGCAGTAGTCGGTTATACATGCAGGTAGCCGGTAGGTAGTAGGTAGTAGCTAGGTACCCAAAATGGCAAAATAATGCTCYAGAATCAGTCTAGATCCATGTCAGATTTCAAGACTTAATAATCTGTATCTGTAGGTTTTAACTCGTGTATTATGTATAATATTGATAATATATTAATATATATATATATATATTATATACATACTGCATACACGATACACATAGACACTAGTTACACTAGTTAGTATTTAGTAGTTAGGTTGATAGGTACGAATTACCATATTACGTTTTGATGATACATTGAAAAAATGAAAATATAAATAGATATTCTAATTTCGTATCAGTTTATACAAGGTACTAACAAAATATAATGGTATATTGGTATGTATATGGTCTAAAATGTATATTCATCACTCAATGAWTTCCTATGTTATACAATTCACAGAATTGTAACGTGACGTGTTCTAGTCATTATATATAATATATATAGGGCTTTAGGTATCAGAATTCAAGAAATATACTGAAAATTCCAGTCTGTAGTTTAGATTCTTATACCGGAAAAACTATTCAAAATAATTAGTTCATACAAGAACGATTAAAGGGAGGCTCTAGTCTATTAAAATTTTAAAAATGCATAATAAAAAATTAACTAGAATTTATATTACGAAAAAAAGAGAAGGGAAAGCCGGACACCCGCAGGCAAATGCATTTCAAGAAGCAAAAAAAATTGTTTTTAAGTATACACTAGGTATACAGTATAGGATGCAGTGGATGCACACAGCTGAAAACTGCTGTCTGTAATTTCCAGATCATTATACCGAAAAAACTTCCATTTAATAATCCAGAAAACCCATTTTTTTTTCAAATTCTTCCATCATAAGATATGGGTTTTTTCCATTTGAGTACTTTCTTCTCACCTTGTACATACAAATATTTAGAGTTTTTACCATGTGATCTAGCTACATCCATATGTTTCAATTCGAGGTGCATTCCCATTCTTTTTTATGSTCGACATTCTTTCATTTAATAATCCAGAAGTCTTTTTCATTTGAGCACTTATTTTAAACAATCATAAACTTATAAATGTACTTCTTCCCAAAAGAAATATATCTATTTAATTATTATTTATTATTAATAAACACATCGATAATACACAATTACAAACGATTTAAATATTAATCAAAAACATAAATTTTTTTTTTTTGACGTTTATTATTGTTTATTTGTTTGTAAATTATAATCTCAACTAATATTTATATTGAGTATTGTATTTATAAATATACAATCTTAATTTGTAACCATTATAAAATGTGAAATTTGAAATTTGAAATGTACATACCTACACAGGCGAGAAACCTTATGTTTGTTCAGTGAACGGATGCAACAAGGCATACTCCAATACGAGTGATCGTTTCAAGCATACCCGAACGCACTTCATCGAAAAACCATACGCTTGTCGAGTAGAAAGTTGTCTGAAAAGGTATACAGACCCMAGCTCTTTGCGAAAACATGCAAAAACTCATAATCATCAAGTTAAGGTGATACTGAGTACGTATATTGTTTATTTCTACAATTAATAAAGCACAGTTATCATAATATTCATCCATAAACTTAGCTAACTTGAAAATGTACTTTAATAATACAATTTATTATCGTCATTATTTTAAATTCAAAGTTATTAGAGAATTATGTAGGTACCTCCAACGTAAGTAAACTTATACTACTATATTATATATTTCACTTGTTAGTTGTTAAGAATATTAAACTAATATAACACTCGTTTGACAGCTATCAGCAATTGGAATTTGAAATGTTAAAGGTCGAAGGGAAATTTAAAATCTCAAGTACTCTAAATATTATAATGATGTTACCTATGTCATTGAACTTGTATTAAGATTATAGTTAACCATAATAAAATACAGTTATAGCTTAAATAGGTTAAACTAATATTTGTTTAGATAGGATACTCGTATATTAATATAATATGCACTGATTGGATAAATAAAAAATTTCGTTTTTTTTTATTTAGATTCTGAGTGGAGTCACGAATCATGAATGTAATAAATTAGTTTTACAATGATGTTAGTGTAATTTTTTTATGATTGCAAATGTTTAAAGCTTCAATTTTTTCAACTTTGAGGTCTTGAAATTGACGATTTGTAAGTTGTATCTAACTTTTATTTTGGGAAAAATTAAAATATTTAGAAAAACTTAAATAGACTCTACAAGAGTGTTTAAGATTATTGATAAAATTGGATGATCAAAACATAAAATACGATTTCTGTTCAAACATTCCACAATTATAAAAATGTCTATTTTCTGTACRCTACAAAATTTTCTAAATTACCACCACTACATGGTCTTCCACGTATCTCAGAATTTTTGAATGGATTTGAATTTTCGGAAAATTAGATAAACTCTATATAACTAAAACTGTCTATACATATTATGTTATTTGTACGAGACATGAACCTATTGATACCATATTTTACGATACAGGGTTSTAATTTAGGTGAGATGAGGGGGATATATTATAATCTCAGAGCCTTTATGAAATAAATATAAGTTGATATAACTAATGAGCGTATCGACTCCGCCGAATTTTTTTACATATTGATTCCCGCGGACATCGACTATCATCCRCTATATCCACTGAATATTAACAACAAATTTGTACTCGTAACAAAATAAGTTAAAGTAGAATATATGACCAAATATAATCAATAGATTCCCTTGTATATAAATATAACTAGCTTTAAACCACTATTTTTTTTACCATACCTATATATTTAATATTTTACTTATATTATTATTTGCAATAATTAGTGATATTCATTTAGATTACATGAAATTAACTGTATTTTTTATTATTTTGAATAATATATTATACCTATAAATCTATTTAAAAATATGAGGTAGGTATTTGAGTTATATTATTTYATTATTTTAATTATTATTGTCCTTTTCAGACTACAATGTTTGAATTGTTTTTTGAAATATTTTTATCGGTTATTGTTTAATAATCAGAATCGATATAAAAAAATATCTGGCGGAATTGATAGCCGGKGGAATTTATATTAAAACGGCGGAGTCGATAAAACCCCTAACTTATTAGTTACTTCAATAATAATAATATATTATGCATTTTTTTTTCAAAAATAAATAGTTCACCTTCCATCTATTATATTACTAATAAGTAATAATATCTATGATCAAATAAATCATAAAATGTCCTTAGAAATAAATACTGACACCGTTTCCGTTTAGAATCGTATATGCAATGATTTATAATTTAATTCATATAAAATATAAACACATTTCTTACCGAGACCTACTCAACGACAACAAATAAACTCGAAAAGTTGAAACCTTACCTGAACTTCTATTTTTTATGTGTTAACATCTTTACCCCCCCCCCCTCTCCAAAAAAGATTGTGTGTTAAATGTTAAAGAAACGGTCTTGAATTAGTAAATTCGATGTCACGAATGTCATGAAATAGTGTAACGGAAGTTGCGTTCGAAATCGTTCAACTGAATAGCTCAAGTTTACATAGGCATGGCGACATAGTGCATGTACTGTACCTAATGTAAATATCACATGATATATTCTTACTATTATTAATCATGTTATTATTATCATAAAACGTATTAATATTATTATTATGTATACTTCATAAATTATAATATTAATTGTTATTTACTTCACCCATAAGTCAACCAACATTTTATTAACAGGCTAAAACATCAAAATTCAGCGTCAGAAACTAAATCTGACACACATATTTTTCATTTATTATTATTATTTAGGTATACTTTGTCATTCATAGTTTTTTGATGTAGGTAAYGTATAGATTATATAATTTATGATATCGTAGAACGTAGAATATAATATTAATGTAAATATGTTGTTATGACGTTAAACAATGATTAATTTTCAGCACAAGATACGAATCCATGCTGTTCTTCTTCGGTCTTCATAACTCCTACTTATTCTACATATTCCACTCCCRACATTATTGACCAACCATTAGATTTGTCAATTCGTTGGAAAAAATAAAGATTGTACTTAAAGGTAGTATTTAATGTTTTAGTGCAAATTACAATATTATTCAACTATGTTTATGAATTTATTATAATAATTTACTGTACATACTTTTACTTCTATTTTTTWTTATTATTATTACTGTACACGAATGTTTAAATTTATTGATTTAAATAAAAAATATAAAAATTATTTTCCATTGTTAAATCAGAAATTAGCTTCCTATATGTATAATACAATAATATAATATTTAGTGTTGAACAGTATCGTAAATATTCGATATCTATAATGAGCACCTAATAAAATAATAAAGTAATGCAGTATATTATTTTATATGTCAGAAATTACAGTACATAATTTAAAATTCTTATTTACTATAATTAATCAATTTTTTTTTTGGATACAAGACACTACATGTAACCAATGTGTACAAACTTATTAGTCATCTTTATAGTGTTGTCTGTCCTCTGGGTCACTATAAAGATCTGACCTACGGGCTACTACTGCTATACTGATACTTAAATATTATAAATAGACACTTTTTTATGATTATAATATTAACCTTAGCTTAGATATGCTTTAACATATTCCTCACATGTATTTGAATTTTGAATTATAATAAATTCAGATAKATAACTTAATTTTTTRTAAGTTAGTTTAATATAATATTTTGTATTATATCTATTTACGTATTTACCATAAATTAATTTTTTTTAAAGTCAATATAAACTTATATACGTAGTTCGTATGTCGAATGTAGCAGATGGTATATAATTACAAGTAAAAATGAATCATTCGTATTTCGTAATCAAAAGACTCATTAACAGCATTTACGAGTATATTAAATATATGAACCTACATACTTATAGTTTTTACGTGCTGCAGTTACAGTGATTAGACATGCACTTTATATAATACGATTATATCAATATGTTTTTATTGATTAAAAAACATATTGGATATTGTAATTAAAAAAAATATAAAGAAAACGATTAAATGATTTCAAGAAAATCATTCATAACGAATACGCTTTTTTATTGTTTATTATAATATTGAATTTTATTACTTCTTAGTACCTATTTAATATAGAGGTACTGGTGTACGTATAGTTTTATTACAAATATTTTCAATGTTAGCATAAATTAAATATAAATATTTTTAAACTATAACTCTATAATGAATAATAAAAAAATGGTAAAGCACGATTCCATACATCTTATCATTTTTAAAAACACGATTTCGTACGATTTTTATCAAACAACGATATGTCAAAATTATCTCAAAAACAAAACGATTACGTACGGTTTTCAGTGCAATGTGTCATTTATTATTTATTATTGTAAATTCATATAATTTTCTTGAATAATAACGTTATAAAAAAAGTTTAAAAAATAAAAATTAGTCAATTCAATTGTATAAATTGTATAAAAAAAATACGTATTTGTAAAATTGTTTAAAAATAATTATAATTTTATATCTTGGTACTTATTACATATATTTATGAATCAAATATTCGTTATATTCGTTGATTATGTGATCTAAATGATATTTGTCGTTTAAGGCATGAGTTAGGATAGAAACAAAAAYTTATCTGATAAGTGTATTGGTATTATATAACGATCTAAACGATTATATCGCTGTTGTACGTTATAAGTACCTATATAAATGTTCCCAAACAGACGACCTAGATTTTACCATCAGGTTTTTAATATATATTTATAGAGAGAGAGAGAGAGAGAGAGAGTTAGATAGTAGTAAACTGACAGGGACATTTTTCGACCGCATCAACTTGGTACGCTGAGCGCCAGCTCCGGCATACTGCGCTTGGAGCCTTGGAGGAACACTGCAGCGACTGGCCGGCAAAATCTGTTGTCTTTTTGGAYTCAGTTAATAATAAAAAGTTAGTAGCAGGCAGCTACCTAAAGCGRAAAATGTTGTAGTGTATTATTAAAAAAACACCAAACGTATAAAAAAAATTGGAAAATTAATTACTTACTTTATATTTACGAAATTTTTGTGCATCGTATATGGTATACCGTATACCTATATTKTTTGGGTTCATTWTAATTTATAATCATTATTAATATATAGTAGATGTATAAGAACATTAGAAACTGTATGGGTTTTGAGAAAATGTATTCAAACATATAGGTGGCAATTCGTATTTTTGTGTGTAGGTACATCTGTAGCAAACTATTCAACAAAACGTGAATTTCCATGCTTAAAACGAATAAAAAAATACTTGCGTTCACAAATAACACAAAAAGATTAAGCAGCATGGCAAATCTATCAATTCAGTCAATCTTCTTGTTTCATTTTCATGTGAAGATATTATAAAATCATTTGTAAATCAAAAAGCAAAACGTCARCTTTTAATAAAGTTAAAATAGTTAAGTTAAGTTTAAATGTAGTATAGATTACTAGATTAGTTAAGATGTTAATGTTAAACATCTGTTTTGTATGCCTTTTAATTTGTGTTTTAAAAATAAAGTCTTTTATTATAAAAATATTGTAATTTGTAGTGTTTTACTTAATGTCCCTAATAATGGTTATATTTTTGTTTTATTATTGTTATTTTATAATTATCATGATACGATAACATGATATCTGATATCGATACAGAATACATAATCAATAAAGTAGCTAGTACTTTTGTCTAAAACATTAAYTAAAGAATACGTTTATTAATTTATTAGTTATAAATATATTTGTGTAACTAAATTTGAGCATATATGTTTTTCATAAAGGCCCGACATAGATACAGATTTCACGGGCCGAATTTCTATAAATACGTAAACTTATACATTCTAAATTCTAATATATTAAAATACTCGTTATATACAGATCACAGATCATGTAACGTATAAAGTTTTAATCAGAATTATTGTAAGTCAAATATAAGTATCTACTTGTATAAAAATGTGCTTTGCAGCATATAAATCCAAGCTATAATCAAAATCATTCTCACCACAGAATGCTATATTATACTAACATTACTAACTACAACCTTCAATGACTAGGTAACAATCATAAAGACTTTTTTTTTCTTTTTTTGATTAAATTACTAATCTTTCGATAGTAAGTAGGTTTCATACTAAAATACTAAATATTGCATATTTTTAATCGATACTCAATCAGTAGTAATCACTATTTACAAACAATTCYTAGTTACGTTCGTTTATTAAAATAAAATAAATTTACTCATGGCAGTTAAACATAATTTAAATATGATTATATGAACAAAGTAGGTATATATTATACCGACGCACTTAATTTTACAAATTTGAGCAAATGAACATAATATATTACCACAGATTATTTTCTGTTTTTGTGAAAAAAACTTTATATCCACACTGAAGGATTTTTGTTAAGACTACTGTATATATTATAATTATATTATGTACTAATATAAGGGGTGAGGCCAGTGAGAGGTATTTTGTACAAAAATAACAATACAAGTTCCTAAATCTTATAGTTATTAGTTATAACATGTTCATTTATAAATCTTAACCATAAATTCAGTAATTTTTTTCTTAAATGGTAACACCTATATTAATTTCTACCTTATTTGAACCTATTTCTATGATTAATAAGCAATTACCTTTATGGCTTTATGGTTTTATAGGTATAAAAAAAAGCATAAATTATATTAAATTCTTGTTGTACGCAATAATGATTTTAATCTCATAACTATACGTATATAAAAACCTACGTATAATGTATAATTTAGTACATATACATACCAAATTAAACTATTACAGTAAAAATAATTGAAAAAATGTATTGTGATTTTATGAGATTAACCATTGTTTAGTGCATGAACAATTTATTTTTAACAATAAAATACTAAGAAAAAACCTATTTTCTTAAACTAAAAAATATTATTTATTCCCCATTGATAAGGTAACAATAAAACGTATTTAAGAAGTGTGCCCTACGAGATGGAAACAGTGTTTTTCTAGTTCGTAAAACAGTTAGACAAATCAAGCTTTCGATTATTTGTATCTACATTTCTTTGGTATAATTTCATTAAAATTTAAAGGTTAGTCGACATTTTATAAATATTTGATTTATTCATATTCATAAACTCTTTATAATATAATATTTTATTCAACTCAATATAGACTTGATCTATAAATGGTTAAATATTTACATAAAAATCTATTTTTGATTTTCAATATTGAACTATCTAGTTTGTACTTGTATTGTAATTTCTTTAAATAATAATAAGCTCCAACATTGAATTTCTATACCGTATAACCAATTATATTTTAATATTTGTATTACATTTTTAACAGAAATGAATAATGGTATGCATTTATTTCTACTTCTTTTGAGCRTCAAGGCATATTCACAATTTACGTTAGCGTCAGGATTCGTCATCAGGCAGTCTGGAAATAATGATCCCATGGCAGTATCCACCGTAGATACTTTGAACAAAAAATATAAATTAAAAACATCGCGTAAGATGAGAAGATTTTGTAAATTATTTCCAGATTACAAATGGTGTCGATCCGATGACAATCCAAACACAACTACTTTCAATTCGACACCTATAATTAATACCGAAATTAATACTAATTCTACGTCTGTCGAATTTGGAAACGAGACAACCGATGGTAACGTATCTAATCATAATAGTACACATTTTATGGTATCCAGTACAGAAACGTCACCGACGATGACTGTTATTAACAACTGGACTACTCTTGATAACGAGTCATTTGAATTAATTACTATTAACGCATCGTCAGAAACAACACTTTACGATTATGAAAATTTAACTACACTGCCCATGACAGATTATACCGACGATGAGATAAGCGTTCCCATTACTTCGAAATCAACTACTAACTACGAGCCAGATAGTACTGCGACTACCACTACTAAAGTTATGGATAACGTGACCCTTATTGAGACCACGACAGCAGTTTCTACAGATTATACTGATTCAACGATCGACTCCATTGAATTTATGACCACTACTGAA